GGTAGCATTTATTGAGAGCTTACTACATGTCAAGAACTCTGCTAATAGCTTTACATATATTATCTCATTTATCCACACAAACATCCTATGGGGTTGTACAATTATCCCCAATTTATTTTTTTCTTTTATTTTTTTCAGTTATCCCCATTTTAAAGATGAGGAGACTAAGGAATGGAGAAACTAAGTAACGTGTCTAAGATTACTGCAACATGCAAACAGAAACGGAAGGAGTGATTATTCCGATGTTGTTTCAAGTAAGAGTTTCATGTATGGTGTTGAAGAGTGAGTCATGAAGTATGGTACCAATAATTTTTTAAAATTTACATTTAATTAATGTTTATTAGAAAACCTGTGAGTTCAGAAATATTTCCTAGGACAACTGAACAAGTGTTAAAATGTGCCAAACTAATGAAAACTATTAGGTAAACCATAGTAGAGGTGGTAGAAAGAGATGGCAAAAATAATAAAAGTAGTTTGCAAATAACTGAAGCTTAGAGGACATTATATAGAAGTTATTTCCAATTCTGAAATTCTATCATTTGACCTCTGAGTCTTGTCTTTTGCCTTTGTCTCATTTTTACCAATGAGGTTGTAATATTTGACCTAAGATTTTGTAAGGATAAATGAGATGATGTAGTTGAATACCAATTTATAAATGGTAAAGCACCTTACAATTATGAAGAATTAGAGTCACAAGTCTGCCTAGTTTGCTGCTGCAACAGAACCACTTTGTGCATACTTCTATCATTGTGCTTAACAGTTGCTTTTGAAATTATATGTTTACCTATATGCTTCTCTGTTATTTCTAACCCCATAAAAAATTCCAGGCACTTTTGGGGAATCCTAGTTTAGTTCATTCTTTACCTGCTCTAGTCTTTATTGCCAGGCAGTTCTTATGTGAAAATAATCAATATTTAAAAGTCCCTGAAGGGGTGCCTGGGTGGCTCAGTCAGTTAAACGTGGGACTCTTGGTTTTGGCTCAGGTTATTATCTCGGGGTCATGAGGTCAAGCCCCATGTCAGGCTCTGTGATCAGTGCAGAGTGTGCTTGAGATTCTTTCCCCCTCACCCACCCTCCCCCTCTGCTCCTCCCTCTGCTCACTCTCTCTCTCTAAGATAAACAAACAAATAAAATCTTTTAAGAAAAGTCCCTCAAAGCATCAAAAGAAACAGAAATTGCTGACTATATTAGCATATAAAATGAAACCCAATTCAGTTTTTGATTGTTAGGCACTAGGCAACACTATACTGAACGCTTTACATTAGTAACATAGAGTTCTGGTCCTCAAGCAGTTTATAATTTAGTTGAAAAGCATATATTAGAGCTGATCCAAGACCAGTAGTTCTCAAACCTGACCATTCAAATGCACCTGAGGAGTATGCCATTGTTATTGTTTTCTTTTAGGTTCTTTGTTTAAGATCTTCAGTGATTCTTACAGGCAGCCAGCTCTAGCATTTCAAATCCATTCCTTAGAAATGAGAAAATTGTTCCATCTAAGGTTTCAAGGTCACACATTTTAAAATTAGAGCTTGAATTGGAACTAGAACCCAGATCCAAAACCAGAATTTCCCCCTTCATACAGTCAATACACAAAGTTACAAGTGACAAAAAAGCTTTTTTATTCCATGTATATTTTGTCTTTTTCTATCAGCCTAATTGGGGAAATTAATATTTTCTGTAACTATTTGACCCTGAAAAGTCAAGAAAGCATTAAAACTTTATTTTACTCTAGTACTCTAAGTTTTAGTTTATTTCTTATAAATAAAAATAAATGAACAATCCAGTCTTCTACAAGTTCAAAGTCTGTAACCATAATATTAAAAAATGTAAATCAGTGCTGTTGTCTAAATAAACTATATGCACATAAGGCTTATTTAGGACTTTTACATTTGCCTGAAGACTGTTAGTGATAGGACAGAGCAACTAGCAGAAAGTTTGCATGGCCTGCCAACAAGTCTTGAGGAAAGCTTGTCAGATGATAGCCCCTTGGTAAAGGACTGCCAGCCCCATTTTTGCAGATTGAAACATCAGGGCTAAGAGTTTAAGTTGTTCTGATTCAAGACAGCAGCATTAGCAGTAAAGTACGATAGGGGCATATTCCTGATGGCCCAAACCGGAGGAGCCTCTGGAAACTAAAATAAAAGCTGGTTTGATTAGGAAGATACATTTCAAATCATCCTATAAATAAATATCAAAGCAACACAAAGTTGTGGCCTCTCCAGGATGAGGTAACTACACTTTCTGAGCAGAAAACAAAACACTTGCTGAAGGTAAAGCAGTGAGCTGGAGAGGAGCCCAGGAAGGAAGACTGCTGCATAGTCATTTAGCAGCCACATCAGTAGATCCAGGCTTCTCAGAGGAAGCACTGGAGATGTAACTATAAAGGAGTGAACACCAGCACAGGCATCGGTGATTGAAACGGCCTCCTCTAGCAGCCAGCTTTTCCCAGTAACCTGTAAACTGTAACCTTTCCTAGGATCTAATTACAACATAAGACAGTGCTTTCTTTCCCCAGTTCTTAGTCCCCACTATTCTACATTGACTTTGGATTGGCATTTTACCACCTTTCCAATTCTTCTTACCATTCCAAAATATTCATATGCTACTAATAAATAATGAATGCAGGTGTTTAAAATGCATGTAGCCGACTGCTTGCCTTATGAAACAAGACCAGTCTTACAATTTAAACAAACTAGATAATAAGTGTGACTTGAGAAGTGACAAAAAAGCCCGCCCCCTCCAAAAAAAACTCCCCCCCATACACAGCGGCTCCTTTCATTGCTTGAAATTTAATCACTATAGATATGGATTGCTTAAGTTAATCAGCCTTTTCACTTTAAATGTAAATGTAACAAAGATCAATAAACAGGCTCCTGAAAAGTATAGTAGAGCAGAACCCCCCTGTAGATTACAAGTCAGCTGTGAGATACTGATGGTGGGAAATTTCTCATATAATAATAAAACACTTTAAACCGTTTTTAGCAATCATGTAAAAACTGACAACAGTTGAAGTTCTCTATTTTAGCATTACCTTGTATGGCTTCCTGAGTAAACCCTGAATTCAGAAATTACTCCGGCAGGTAAGATTTTATGCACACTACCTGCCGCTAGAGGGCGCTTTGTCGTGGATGTGCCACGTAGCACTTTCCCAAGGCGTTTGGTATGGGTATTGTCATTTTTTCATGTTTGTCATGACATGAAAAGATCACAACTATGATTCATTTTGGCATTTATTTACATAGTGTCCATTGTCACCTATGTCATAAAAGAAAGGACATTTTAAAGTAACACGAATGGACATTTTAAAGTATAACGTGAATTTGCCTAGGACCCAGAAAGCTTCATCATGAGCCACCACTGGGTTTGAAAAACCCTGGAAAGAGTTTATTTTAAAAATGAAATTAGAAATTAATATTGATTTAAAAGATGTGAGGGGAATCTATGCGGTATCTGTAGCATGTCTATATTTCTGAATTGTGTTTTTTGCAAACCGATGTTAAAATTTATATGCATTTCTTAACTTCAGTTGAGAATCAGAAGACAGTGGCCAAGGAGCATTTGGAGTTTATTTCTTAACAAAAACGCTAGTTAAGCACCGGTGAGGTGCTAAGGATCCATAATTAATTAGAACAGTTTCTGTATTTGAGTTGCCCAGAGCAAAAATAAACATGCAAGAAAATTAATTGAGGTTAATGAGATAAGTGCTACAATAGATGTATGTCCAAGATTTAGAGATAGCACAGAGAAAGCTGTGGTATAGTAATCAGCTGGGGGGAAGCTCTTGCTGTTTTTCTGAATCATGGAGAGATTATAAAGTGACCTTTGAAGAGGCCTCAGGTTTTCCAAAAGTCACTCACTCTCTTTGCCTATAGAAGCACTTCTGGAAGAGGTGGGAACCTTACTGCAAAAAATGTTTCCAAACTTGGATTCTAAAATAACTATCATTCCTTTTTTTTTTTTAACTTTACACCTGAGGAAGTCTTTTTTCCTGTTATCATTGAACTCCTTCAGTGAGCCTTTACTGCTAAAAATGATTTAGGCAAGGAATTTTGCTGGATTTGATGCAGATTTTATTACATACTTTATGTTATATGCTTCATGTTATATATGTTTGTTATATACTTTACATAGTGGCAGCCTTAGACTAGAGCTTTCTTGCAATAAATGAAATTAAATGGGAGTTAACTTATAACTTAGTAAATTAAGTGGAAGTGCTAAGACTGCCTGCTCCCATGGCAATGAAGAGGTCAGGCTGAAAAGCTGTAGCCCAGACACCACAGTAGAGACAAGAGCTTCTCTGGGCCATTGGTTTACTTCCTCTATGCTTCAGCTGTGAAAATGTGGCTTCAGATATTATCTGTTTTCATTATAATTATGCATGGTCCATGATTCGCTGTCACTTGGAAACACACCTGTGGTTTGCTTTTAAAAATAACATGAATCCATAGATTCAATAAAACCATGCCAGATGTTTATAATAGAAAATAATATGTAGAAAAATACATTTTTAAAGATACTCAAGTGCTCCGTTTTGATTCTTTGGTATGACTTTCACATGTTAGTGACTTCATGATCATTTGTAGCTTTAGCAGATATATGAAATACTTCAATATTCATAGAAAAATAATTTTAATTTCAAAATAATGGGATAATTTTACATGATAGGAAACCAACTTACCTTTTTCAGGAAATTTTACAATATGTTCTCATTATGAAAGCATACTATTTTTCAATAAAGTTACCCAAAAGGATGTTTTCCTTCATGTGATTATTAATAACCAAGAATGATTCATGAGATATACTGACAATTACTGATAGTCTGATAATCTCTAAGAAGCTGTTCTGAAGTCATAAGCCTGTATTCTTGCAGAGTATATAACAGGTGTTCCCACTCCCTGTGTCCTTTGTATACACATTCATTCTGTATTCAAATCACAGAAGCAGGAGACAGGATAGGGTCTGTTACCTCACTGCTAATTTCCCTAGCAAATAAACCAGCAGCTGCTGGTCCATGAACCAAGTTGCCACTGGGAACAGGGCACTGTATGCATGGGACAGGATGCTTTCATGGAGTCCTTCAGCAGCACAGTTGGGGGCTTTCAGTGCAAAATATACCTCCTTCTCTTAGGTAAGGCACTGCATTTCAGCTGTTGTTTATTTTGTTTTGTTTTGTATTTTTAATTGTGGGCATAAGGTAAATATTTGCTTTAAGCTGTAGATTCACTCAGATAATTGAAGAACGGCTCAGAACCTTTTAAACAATAACACACTTTGTTCCAGTAAAGAAGCAGGAACATTTAGGAGAAATGAGGTTCAAGAAACAGATGATTGTGGTTTTCTTAGAACAGCAATTACTGTCAACAGTACTCATTAAGAAAGTTAAGACCTTCTAAAAACCTAATGAATTTCTTTTTACAGAGTTTACATATAGATTTAATAGTCTTCAATGCATTTTATTTTGGCAAATATTCACATAGGCCATGAATTTGTGACCGTTTTTAGTGAAATTCAACAATTTATGAAAGCGGTTTTAATTAAAAATATTGTGGTAAACTGTCAGCTCTGCTTCATTTTAAATTACCTAGCATGAAATGTAGAGAAAGGTGAGGTTCCAAAGTTACAAAAAATATTGTATACACAATAGGGAGCAATGTGTTAAAAAGTATTATTTCTCCAAAGTACCTTTAGCTTTTCTCTTTGTCCAATGGTTAGTCTTACTACATTTTTTTTCCTTGACTTACTGTTTTCTCCTCATTCTCCTCTTCATTCTTAAAGAGTCTTTCTCCAACATTCCCACTCTTTTTGTGTCATCTTTTTTTTCACTAGGTGTTCTCTTTTTCATTCTTCCTAATTATCAGTTTTAAAAGTCAAGTTCATTTCTTGTTTTATCTATAGTCAACAGATAGGGACTCAAAAAAGACTTTATTCTTTAAACTTTAAGAACAGATTAGCTAAATAAGCAATTTAAGTCTTAGGCTTTTGCAGTAGCTTAGAGCCTTGCTTTCGCTGGTATTTTTTGTTATAGTTTTCATTGTAAATGTGATCATTATTCAAATTTATACATAATGTATATAATCCCAAGTATTTGAAATGCTCAGTTTGTAATTTTTTCTAAAAACTGAGTTTCCCATAATTGGTGATTGTTTTATGTTGTCAAATTCAAGCCTATATAGATTTTTAGTTTTTGAAATTTTTAGAAAAAAATCAGTAAATACCATAACTGATTTTTTATCTTTGTGCATTTTTCTGGGCTCTGAAACTATCCTGTGTGTCAGTGCCCCCACTTATTTTTAATTTTACAACAACAGGCATGCTGTCATTTCATAAGTAATATTTTTGAAGCTGGCTTTAAGAAGAACTTAAAAACAATTTATTTGAGGAATTTGACTAAAATAAAATTAAAATTACTAATACATAGAAATAGATAGCATGTTCCTAAGTAGTTAAAATGGTCATCCCTTAAGTCTTTCTTACACAGATTCACTTTTCTCCATTGATAGTGTGTTGTAAAGATCATATGTAATGTGGAAATATTTTTGTTTTTAGAATATTGGATATCTGATTGTTTTTCTTTTTGAAAAAAAAATCTTAAAAATTTTGAACCCCAAAATGTAGTTTGTAAAGTCTATTCAAAGTACAACCTCATAGTTTCTATTTTCTCTAAAGATGCAGTTTATTTTCAGTCAACAATAGTTGTGTTATGCTTGCTAATATCATACATGATAAAGGGGAAGTAAATGCCAACTATTTTAAGGTACAGCTAGAGGTCACTTTGTGAAATCTGATGTTTATATTCAATACAGTGAAACTGGTCTGGGGAGTCTTTTGTTTCTGGAATATAGATAAATTTTACAATATGACTTCAAGTGTTTCTAAACACTGGACATTCATTTATAGTGCTGTTGTTAGACAGTTTAAGGGAGTCTCTAAAAGGGAGATTATTGCTATAATGTATGTTATTAATATTTCTCCAAGTTAATGTAATGCCTCATATGTAAAAAGTCTAAGAATTTTTCTTTTTTATATTTAAAAAGTAGGTATTAGTGACTCTAATAATAAAATTGAATTTTGATTTAAGTCCAATTATTTGGAATATCAAAAGGAAATTAAATTTCATCAATTTTTAAAATTTATTTTCTTAAGGTTTATTTGTTCACACAGAGGTTGACTTCCTAAAATCAATAGTTTTAGTTCTTTAGGTTTTCTCATACAACTAGAAAAGAGAGCTTGAAAAATTCTCAAAATGAAGCTAATTTTTTTAAAGTTAATACCGTACCATCTGAGAGCATAGATTTATCACATCTGTAGTGCAAAATACAACAGTGAAAAAAAGAGTGTGTTCTTAAGATGTAGAGGAGGTATCTAATCATCTGTTTATTCACCAAAGTTCACTACAAGTTAAGGATTACATCATATCAATAGGTTCTTTCCTGCAAAGTGAAAGAATTTTAGTAGCTGAGATAAGATACTCTATAAAGAAAATTACAGTCTTCGCTGATATTCTTATAACTTGCTATCTATAAGTTATCTGATAAAATGGTAGAGGCAATCTAAGGAAAGAGCTCTTGTAACAGCTGTGCTCTCTCTCACTGTCGTACATATATTTGAAAAAAGCACATATATTTGAAAAAAATAAATGATATGATTTCATATGATTTGATATTATAAACATTGAATACATTCAGAGATATTGATAGCAATGTATTATTTAAGGCATTATTACATGACACAATTTCTAAAATAGCCCGAAGAACTAGTTCACCCCACTTAAACAATTATTGTAAGTGCCATATAAAATGTTATTTTCTTCTAAAGTAGTTCATTATTCCTGGGCTGCAATATCTGTATTGTATTTAACCTTATATTAAATAAAATTTGCTTCCCATAACGTCAATCATAGACTTTCGAATCAGTCTTTTCATGCTTAAGATTCAACATTCTGATTCAAGATCCAAAAGTCACCAACATTTCTATTCTAGTCATGCTAGCACTACATAGTAGTAAAGTGCCTCCCAACCATTTTCTGGCTACTAAAATCTCAATCTTTAAACTATAACTACCAAAAAAAAAAAAAAAAATAGATGAAAAACAGTTCTTCCCCTTTTCCAAAAAATAAAACAAAGGGGAAAAAAAGACCCTAAACAAGGACTTCTGACTTCCCCAACAAGAACAGATTGGCCAGAATTGCATTCAGGCCATCTATATCAAGCTCACTGTCAAAGGCAACTACCGAGTTTTAAGTCAGCAGCCATGAAACTTTTTCCAGAGCATTCTCAAGGCAATGATGTAGATTCCCACCATCCCCCATGGTTCCTTGGTAAAAAAACACAGAATCGCCGCCTTACTGAAGGACATCCAGGGATTGTGACTTAAGTGGACTAAAACCTGAGACTCCATACTTCAAAATTCTGTGGGCCCTTTCAATTAAATATGGGCCTTTCACCTTCAAAAGTAAGGTAGCTGCTACCCTGAGAAAAGCACCTTGGGATGTCAAGAACAAACATAAAGAGTAGAGAGAGACTTAGACCTCATCTAATATTACCCTCCTTTTACACATGAGAAAACTGAGGTCCAGAGAATTAGAATGACTTTTCTAAGGCCACTTAACTGGCCAATCATCATTTTATCCCAAGGGTGTGTCCTTTACTAAGACCTTGCATTTCATCAGTTTTTAACTTTATCAAAGTCTCAAATACAGAAATCTCTCTGCAAATTTAGAGATTAGGTTCCTAAAATCTCTTATTTCAAGGCAATTTGCAAGTGATGAATTTAATGACTAAATGGTGAGAGTAGGACAAGGAAGTCCAAGATCAAGAGTGAACTGTGAAACCTCATAAATACTTTCATATTCACTGAAATATAAAAGGAGACAGCAACACACTTCATAAATACAGTGAAAATTATATTTGGTGTATTTTAAGTTAGTAATAATGGGTATTAAAAAAAACAAGTTTTTATTTATTGCTTACCAGGAATTTGTCCAGAGCTTCCTATCCCCAATTTCAATGAAAAGCATGTAGATGCATGTTGTTTTGTGCAGATAACACATACGCTACGAGGAATCTTTTCCTTTACTGGTCCCTCATCCAAATGCCCAATGTGTTTCTCAATCTGTGGCTTGAAGAACTTTACTCTCTTCTGTTGGCCCCTGTTTCACATATCACAGACATTACTAGGTTTAAGTCCTAGATTTACTTTCTCTTCTTTTTTTTCTTTCTTATGATTTCCTTGCAGAAACCACTACTTTTCTGCAATCCATTTTACCTCCGCTTTAGAATTCCCAGTACAAGTTCCTTCTTTTTCTAATGATTCAAACTAGGAACAACCACAAATTTAACATTCTTGCACTTTCCAGAAAAGAAAACAGAAGCAAATCCTCATACCTTTGTAACTCCTTTGTTATGAACCAAATCACTAAAATGAATGTACAGATACAGCCCATTATCAGGGAAAAAAAATTACAGAGTCCATCACAAATACACACAAAGCCCAAGGAAACTATAAGACACATATTTATTTTGCCCATAGAGTCACCTAATTCTCAGTCCATATGGTCAGTTTCAGGTGAACATCTGGGAGTTCCTTCTCCCTCTAACCTCCTGTGATCTTCATCTTTTTGCTTTCTCCTGAGTTTTTCTCTAACTTATCTGCCAGACCTAGGTCTCACTCTCTACTAACAGCTAACTGAGGACCAAAATGATGGAAATCTTTACTCTCACCTCCAGCCTGGGAAGTAAGAGAGAGATTTGCTGTTGGTAGAATTTGATTCCTCTTAGTGGCAGACTACATCTTTCAGTTTCTCCAAAGAAATCATCACACAAACAGACCTTTACACCTTTCCTTTCCTAATATTGATGGCCTTTTATAACATCACTTAGATAAAGCTTAAAGACCCTCTTTCTAGTAGGGATGAAAAGGGAAAGCAATTAAAGAAAATAAACATTTGTATATGAGAAAATTGAAATTGTAAGGTATCTCTATTTGTGCCCAAATTTCTATCTTTTCTTACCTAAGATTTTTCTTATTCCACCTTCACTCATCTGTATTTGGCTTCATCAAGTTTTCTCTTTCTAGTGGATCATTTCAATAGCTACAAATATACTGTTCAGCATCCATCCAAAGAAACAGAGAGGAAAGAAAAGAACATTTTTCTGCTCCCCTTCACAGCAGAACTCCCCAGAAGTATTGTCTATACTCACTGTCTATAGTTTCCATTCTTTTTCCCCTCAATGTTTAAAATACTTCACATTTAAATTCCTCCCATTCTCTCCCTATTTCACATGTTCATATGCTGTCAGTAGTATCTTGCTCCTTTTTAAAATGATGCCAAAGCAAATAGCTTTTAATTAGGATTCAAGCAACATGGTAGTCTGAACTAAGGAGGAGTCTCTTCTTAATTGCAAATACATAGAAGTGCTAAATAAAAATTTAAAATATATATCATGGCTCAAGGTAAAGGTATGGAAATCTCCAGCTGCCAGAAAATAGGAAGAAACCTGCAGACATATCAGTGAGTGCATGGGTCCAAACAACACAGGCAGGCAGGAGGCTGGGAGCCAGGGCCATGCGTTGGGCACAGCTCCATGCCCCAAGGCCCTCCAGACTCTCATTCTGACTTAAACCCACATTAATCAGGCTCTCATGCCCAGTATATCTTTTCAGTATTGCCCCTTGGATGTCAAATGGGTATCTCAAATGAACATGTCCAAAACTGACTCCTAATCTGCCCCACAAAAATCTCTTCTCCCCAGTCTTCGCCATGGTTAATTTATTTGTTGCCCGTTAATAAATGACATCCATTCTTCCATTTGATCAGGTCAACAACCTTAGAATCATTCTTGACTCTTGTTTCTTGTATTTCACCCCAATGTGTCATCAAATCCTATTAGCACCACCAGCCTTTCTCACAATATCTTTTACTACCACACTGGTCTGCGGTACAAACATCTCTGGCCTACTTCATTGTAGTCACCTCCTCAGTGGTCTCCCTGCTCCTGCTCTTGCCCGTCTTGGTCTATTCTCACAATTGCTAGAGTATACCTAAAAAAAAGAAGAAGAAGAAGAAGAAGAATATCCCTCTCTGCTCACAAAACTCCAGTTTCATCCCCATCTCACTCAGGGTAAAATTGCCAAAATGTTTGCCATGACACTAAGACATTGCCTGATCTGGCCCCAGCCACCTTGCTGACCTGTCTTACCACACTCCTCCACCTCCTCCAGTCTGCTCCCTCTTGCTGTTCCTCAAACACACCAACCAGATTCCTGCTTATGGGCAGAAATGACTGATCATGAATGATAATGGTTTAATGCCATTCTCCTTGGGATATTTCCATGTGACAAGCCTTTGGCTAAAGAGGAAAACTTCCAATAATGGTCTAGTAAGCCATTGCAGAAGACTTTGGAGAGAGATTCTGAGGAGGAAGTAGCTCCTCAGTGTTTCTCAAATCACAGAGTTTAATTGGGATATGATATGATTCAAACACAATTTCATAATTTTTCCAGGTTTCATTGGACTTTAGAACTAACAATCTTTCCCAGTTCTCTTTTTCCCATTATTCTTTAACAGCCATAGATAATAACTTCTGCTTTTCCTTTTCATCTTGCCTTTAAAGAAGCCATTCAATCAACATAGTCTTTGGGTGGAGTTTTTAAAATGCAGAAGGTTTCAGAGACAAATATTTACCTCTGCAGGTACTAGAATGGTCAGTACCTAGAAGCCTCTCTCCTTTGTAAGCATTATCACCAGATCAGGTTCTCTCTGTATTGCCCCTTAGATTGTGAAATGTGGCTCAGGATCATTACAACTTTCCTTTCCTTTGTAGCAGGCACTTGCTCAGGGCTGAAAGTGACAGTGCCCTCACACACCGTTCATGGCATCAGGGGCCAGGCCCTCTACCTCCCTGTGCACTATGGATTCCACACTGCGGCATCAGACATCCAGATCATATGGCTGTTTGAGAGACCCCACACGATGCCCAAATACTTACTGGGCTCCGTGAACAAGTCTGTGGTTCCTGACTTGGAATACCAACACAAGTTCACCATGATGCCGCCCAATGCGTCTCTGCTCATCAACCCATTGCAATTCACTGATGAAGGCAATTACATCGTGAAGGTCAACATTCAGGGAAATGGAACTCTATCAGCTAGTCAGAAGATACAAGTGACCGTTGATGGTGAGTCCACTGTAAGTGACCTGGGCCGCTGGGAGCATGGCAGTTAGTAACAGCTCAGGAGATTAGACTACCTGGGCTTTACGTCCTGGCTCTGCAACTTTAGGCAGATTAATTAACCCTCAAAACCTCAGTGTTTCATGGCACAAATTACATTATATATCTCACAAGGCTTTCTGAATATTAAATAAGACATGCATGTAAAGTATATGCATAGTGCCCAATGAAAGGTAATCAAGCGATAAGCAGAATGTATTATTTGCTTGCCTGGAACCTATCAAGGATAAAGTTGCTGATACAGTAAGATGGAGGAATTTTTTTTTGCAGTATCAGAACACACCCTGGGAAGAGCCCTGTTTTTGTCACATGAAGACTTTTATTTTGATACACTGTTTGGGGGAGGATGATACTTGCTCAAGGACTGTACTTAAGGAACAGTAGAAGTTGCTGGAAATGTCCTCTGAGGGATTATGGAATCAGCTAAATTTCAGACCTTTATTTTCCTTATTGAGGTATATAAGTAGCATGCCTTAAATATACTATGTCCAAACCCCAACTTCTGATTTTCCCCTTAAACCTGATTATTTAACAGGTTATTACTTAAAATTTCCTCCATTTTAGTAAATACCAACTCCATTCTATCAGTTGCTCAGGCCAAAACTTTGCCATCACCATTGACCCCACATCTTTCTCTCACACCACACATCACACCCCTCTTTCTCTCACACCCCACATCCAGTCCACAAGTTATCAGTCAGCTTTACCTTCAAAATAGAGTTCAGTCACTTCTTACCACCCCCTCTACCTCCTCTCTCAACCCCACCACCAGCTCTGAACTGGACTGTCCTTAATAGCCTTAACTACCCGGTCTCCTGCTTCTACTCCCACCTCCTGCAGCTTAAAACCCTCCCATGGCTTTCTATCTCACTTAAAATAAGAGTCAGAGTACTAACAATGTCCTACAAGGACCCACATGATACTTCCCAGCATACCCAGCATCTCTCTGACCCCATTTCCTACCTTTCTTACCCCTCACTCACTCTGTTCTGACCACACTGGCCTCCTAGCTTTTCCTAGAATAGGCCAAACACACTTATACCTCAGGGCCTTTGTACTTGCTATTCAGTCTACCTAGACTGCTTTTCTCCTAGATAATAGCATGGTTCCCTGCCCTATTTCCTTTAGGTCTCAGCCAAAATGTCACTTTATATGTGAAGGTTTTCCTGACCACCTCATAAAGTATAGGCTCATTTCCCCAAACAGAGAGAGAAAGAGAGAGAGAGAGAGAGATTCCCCCAAACAAATATATAGAGAGAGTGACTATCTATCTTGAGTTCTGTTTTATTCTTTTCACAGCACTTATTTCCACCTGGATATATTATATATTTTTATTTGATTATTTTTTCTCTCCCTCACCTAGAATATGAGGTCCATTGGAGCAGGGACTTTGTATTGTTTGCTGCTTTGTCCTTAGTTCCTAAAAGCTGATGCTGGCCTTTAGTAGGCACTCAGTAAGTGTGTGTGGAGTAAATGAGTGGAAACCAGAAAAACTGAGGGAAGCAAAGGCAGAGGATAAGGAAGCAGATGCCTATACAGCAACTATGAAAAGAGAAAAGGAGAAAATGTTCATGAAATTCTCCTGGGTAGTATCCCATCTCTCCCCAAAACTTAATGGAATATTCATTACATTTTAATATCTAGTAAAATTGGGTCTGTTTGGCAAAATGCAACTAAAAAGTCTTAATAGGATTTAGGGCCTATGTAAAATATCTTCCTGGGAAACTTCCACATGTAAGTCACACTCTTTAAGGCAGGTATATGATCACAGCCTATTCTGATTGGTTCTCCCCATAAAAGACTTTGACATTACTTCTTTCCCATACCACATCAGTTTCCACACAGAGAGATATTTGAAATATAAGCTTTTCCTGTGTAATAAATGTACACAACTCATTTTTCCTTTTTAAATCATAATAATGTAAACAAAAGCTATTCTACATCCTTTGTTCTTGCCAGGAACTCTAAAAGATTAAATTGAACGAACAAGTTGATTGTACCCATCTTAAGAAAACTGAAGGCTTCAGAACTACTTACGTCCCCTGCAAATTATTTCAGTTTCCTTTTTTCTTATTTTTCATTTTCTCCTATATTCCCTGGGCTAAAGGATTGGGTCTGTTTATTCCCCAATGCACATTTTTCCATGTAGGGAAATGAGTGTATGAGTCAAAAGGAATTTACCTTCAGAGATGCATCAACCCCAATTTAAAGCCGGATAGGAAATTGAAATCTAAATATCTGAGCCAATCATTTCTCACTTATCTATCATCTCACTCTCTCTGTGTCCTGTGATGATGCATAGAAGGAAATTATTAAACATATTTCTCCAAAATGCAGGAGAGAAACATTGCCAGATATAAGGCCCTCTTCATTTTGTCACTGACTGCTGTGTAGCTCTGGTCAAGTCACTGTCCCTTTATCAAACAGAACTGAAAACCTCAAAGATTAATGAAGTTTGTTGAAAATATTTGTGGATACTTATATAATTTCAACCCTTGCCCAACAATTTTACAGTTAAAACTCGGGGAGGAAATATTTACTCATTCTTGGAGATTTCTTCATTTAACAAATAGCATCATGTACCCAATTCATGAGTTTTAACTATTTTCCTATTACTTGAAATTCCAACAGGAATTACTATTGGATTTATCTTTTATATCTCTAATGGGATGTAATCACAATAACGCATTTTATCCTGTTTTCAAATTGAATCAGTGTTGAAAAGTGGCTAACATAATGTTGCAATTGCACAGCAATTAAAACATATAATTAGTTCACTTACATAAAAAGAAAAGTAAGTGGTGAAAATGTGATTCTCTAAAACTTTCCCTCAGTATTCCACAAGTGTAATATATGTGAGCTTTATATTTTACAGATGGTGGATAAAAATTTAGGTTCATCTACCCCAAGCAGTTATTCTTGGGACATTAGAACAAATCAAGAGAGGAAAATGCCATGTAAACTTTGCCCGTGAGAGTATACCTTTATGGTGTGGGAAAAGGCACAATGAACAGGAAATAAGGAAGTTGGTGTTCTCTACACTAACTGCATTATCTATAAAGTAAAGGTTTTCATTAGAAAATCCTTGAAAAGTACATTCTAGAATTTTGGTTATCTCTGCTATAAATGATATTTTTATATTTTTATCATTTTGCATTTTCCATTGATTATTTTTTATTCTCTTCTTTACTTTCTGAACTGTGTACATCTATAAAAATGTAAAATTTTAGAATCATTTCTCCAGGATTTGACATTTGAAAGACCACACACACTTGTATTATAATTCCGTGGTGGCAAAAACCATTTCTATCTCTTTTGATGTTGCAGATCCTGTCACAAAACCAGTTGTACAGACTCAGCCTTCCTCTGGAGCTGTGGAGTATGTAGGGAACATGACCCTGACATGCCTCGTGGAAGGGGGCACCCGGCTGGTTTACCAGTGGCTAAAAAATGAAAGGCCTGTCCACACCAGCTCCACCACCTCCTTTTCTCTGCAAAACAATACCCTTCATATTGCTCCAGTGACCAAAGAAGATATTGGGAATTACAGTTGCCTGGTGAAGAACCCTGTCAGTGAGATGGAAAGTGACATCATTATGCCTACCATATATTGTAAGTTTTTAAAAATATGTATATTCATGACTTTTCTTCTGGGAAGTTTACACAAGGGTGGTCACAGAGAATATCAACACAAACTGTCATTTGTTTTTTACATTATTGTAAAACAGTATAGTTGTAATTATACTTCCTATACATAGTCTTTGTCATGAAATATAGCTAGTAGAATGACCCTATTTCTTGAATATCAAGTTGAGATACTGGCTGTGAGCCTTTTAGGATACATTTTCTGACTTGGTCCGTTGTGTGACTTTATATCCAGTGGAAAGTAGGAAACTCAATTTTAAGAACCGAGAACCAATACAGAAGGCACTAATTACTCTAAGGACGAAGAATTGGTGATCATAAACTGGAGGAGGGGGGTGCTCTGTAGCTGACCACAGGAAGAAAGAATGTTCCCAGATTATGCATGGGTACTACATCCCAGGGCATGGCTATTCTTCTTCCCATTTTCTCAGCTCCATTTTTAGAGAAAACTTAATTGTTCTGCAGTAAGCTAATAAGGTTCCCAGAGCATTGGTAATTATTTCAGATTTCACTTTTCTTTGTTTTTTTTTTCCATTGTTGTTGCTGTTATTGTCCTTTAATCTCACAAAGTTAAGTTCATCAAGCTCTTCAGTTTGTGTCATATTATCATCCCAGCCCAAGCAGGATCCCTCTTTCTTTATCATATTATTTTTCCCAGTCCCCTTTACTTCATAGTACCACCTCTAGTATGTTTAATTTTACAGTTTACTTTCAGCTTAATACAGGGTTTCTCAGTGTCCACACTACTGACATTTTGGGCTGGACAAATCTTTGTTGTGGGGGCTGTCTTATGTATTATAGGATGTTTAATGGCATCCCTGGCCTCCCCACCTTCAATTGTGACAACTAAAAATGTCTCTGGTTATTGCTGTATGTCCCCTGTTATGGGAGGTGCAAAATCTCCCCTAGTTGAGAGCCGATGACCTATCACATTGGGACGTCTTCTCATCAGTCACTATGTAGCTTAGAACATAGCCACAACAGCAGTGTAACAAAAAGAGTGAGGCATGGTAAAGGAAAACTTCTCAACCCTGTGGCATGAGGGTAGAGGTTTCAGCTAGTTGAACCACTGGGCAGAATTAACTGTATCTACTTACTCGTCAAATAATATCGTATAATAATACTAGGAGAGGCCCCAAAACCTAGTGTTTAGGTGCTTAGGAGGTAGACAGACCTAAGTAGGAGATGGGTTCTATCATTACTCATATGACCTTAAGAAATTCCTTGACCTTTCTGAGCCTCATTTGTAAAATGGAGATAGTTAAAACTACCTCACCACATTGCGATGGCTCAATAAGGTATCTGAAAAATAGCTAATGACTGACACAAAACAAGCATTCAGTAAACAGAGGCTGTTTATATTACTGATTCTATTTTCTTCAATAGAAAATTGATGGAGTCCTCTTGAGGAAGTGTGTTATTAACTTTTTGGAAAAAAGCACCAGCATATGTACAAAATGTAGGCTTTTCCAACTAAATAAAGCTCAGCAGTAAAACTGAGCTCCAGGGTTGGGGCAGGAAAAGCAGCTGCAGGGAGAGGAATGAAATAGTGTGATTCAGGTATCCAGTAAGGTTTGCTTGAGTCAGCAAAATTAAGCCAAGAAAAATGGAATCATTGACTCTTGAAACAGGAAGCTATCCTATAGTTAAGCAGAAGTGAGAAAATATGCACAATAGAATGTGTGAAATAGAATGTCATAAATACTATAGGGAAGTGTACAAACGACCATAATGGCTAGGAACAAGAACTCTAGAGCCAGAGGCCTGGGTTCAAATCCTGTATCTACTACCTTACCTCTCTGTGCCTCAGTTTCTTCATCCATATAATGATGATAATACCATTATAATACCAAGTAATACCTACTTCATAGAGTTACTGTGAGGATTAAATCTGTTACTACATGCAAATTGCTTAGAACAGTAACTGATAGTAAGTATTCTACAACTGTTGGCCATGATTATCACTATAATATTACGAGACTATGAAATTCAGAGAAGGAAAATATTACTTCTGGCTAGAGAGAATGGTTATTGTAGGAAGTAACATTTGGGATGAATCTTGAACAATGGGCATGACTGGGGCAAGTAACAGTGTCTGGAAAAACCATTTTAGGCAATGGGGGATAGCAGGAACCCAAACCCAAAGCAGAGGTCAAAGTTTAGGCAAATGGTCAAGTTTAGTTAGAGTGAAGGATACAGCAAGGGGCATGGTAGACTAGATGGTCAGATAGATATGTTTGAGTTAAATCATGGAGAGCTTTGAACACCAGAACTTATATGGTAAACAATGAGAAAAAAAATTATTTTTTAAACAAAGGTTCAAATAAAAAAAGCGTAGAGAATGGTTTATAAGCTAAAATTTAGACACACATATTCTAGGCTAAATCAAAAAATGTTTGTCAAGAGAGCACGTTTTCAAGATAGATCACAAACTTCAAACAATAATAGAAATGGTATACATAGGAAAGGAAAAAAGGGAAGTAGGATATATTTTATTAACCAATAATACAGAAAGGAAAAGTCACCAATTTTGAACTATATACAGTGATTAAACATATTTAAGAGCAATTTCAAAATATTTTTTCTGAAAAGTAGAAAAAACTTCATATACTGTATAAGTCATTTTTGGTTTAGGGGAACCAAAGAGGATTAACTCCTAGTCCAACCTAGTCCAGAATTCACTGTCTCAAAGATGAACCATTCCCTTCATTTGGGAACAGAAGAAATTATATTAAAAATGCCAAAGAAGGAGGAAATTACAGTTTTTCACCAAGAAATACCACAACACCCACACTGCAAGCAACTCACTTGAGATTTGTTACAGTTATTAATTGCATTATGTTTAACAATGGCATTATTTTTATAGCAGAACTTTTAGCTATATTTTTTTTAATAATTTTTTTATTGTTATGTTAACCACCATACATTACATCATTAGTTTTTGATGCAGTGTTCCATGATTCATTGTTTGTGCATAACACCCAGTGCTCCACGCAGAATGTGCCCTCTTTAACACCCATCACCAGGCTAACCCATCCCCCAACCCCCTCCCCTCTAGAACCCTCAGTTTGTTTTTCAGAGTCCATCGTCTCTAATGGTTCGTCTCCCCCTCCAACTTACTCCCCTTCATTCTTCCCCTCCTGCTATCTTCTTCTTCTTCTCTTTTAGCTATATTTTTACAGTTTTATATAATTTTATATTCAGATGACATTGTGAAAATATTCTGTCTGCCTTAATGCGTAGACTGAGAAATAGATTCACAAAGGAAGTTTAAACTGTGCCTATCTGCATGATAACATTGTATTGGAGTGAAAAATTCAGATTTAGTGTGGTCTATTTATAAGTGTAGTTATCTTCTTGACGGAATAAGTTTATTCTGACATGAATTAACACTTCCATTCAACTGCAAGTAGCACAAGACCTAAGTATTGAAGTTATTTAAGCACAATGAAAAAAAAATGTGAGCAGGCAAGGTGAATCAAATCTAGGACTATGCAGATACATCTTTACATTATTCTTTATTACTTGATCTAAATGGTTTACATTCACATAGAAAGTACAAAATGCAAAAAAAGATATTAAAGCAGCCAGATATCATCTACTGAATATTAAACCTAAGGAACCGTCATTCAGTGTGGTCAGAGACAGCAAGAAGTGAGCTTGTGCTGGAGCATTCCTTGTTAACTGATGATCTTTTTGTTTCAACCACATTAAATTCTAGTTAATATCATGTCATTTGGGGAGTGCAGTGGAGAGCACAGTGGTTATGAGCCTGAGCTGAAAACTGAGACTGCCTGGGCTAAAACCTTGGTTCTGCCATTAGCAGTATATGCAAGTGACCCCCTTTTCTGTGCATCAGTGTCCTCATTCTTATCTCCACTGTCCTCTGTATAAGGCTAATACCTGTCTCAAGTTGGATTGGGAGGATTAGGTGAGATTTTATGAATAAAGAAGTCAGTGAGTAGCACATAGGAAGAACTCAATGATCTTAGCTCTTCCCCTCCCCCCTTCTTTCTTTCTTGTTTTTTTATTTTTTTCCTGTGAGCCAAAACTATGCTGACATAATTGGGAACATGGCAGCAAGAAGTTATGGAGAGCCTGGATCATTTAGAAGATGCCTACAAAGAGAAAACGGAAGGAATACCTTAAGAAGAACATTTTCTTTCCCAAACGTTACCAGTAGTTAACATTATTTTGTTTACATGAAAATATTTTCTTTACATCAGTTTTTTTTTTTTAACATCTATCTGTCTCTCCATCTATTTGCCTATCTTTAAACTCTAGCTATAGATTTAAATGAGAAATTCCTGGGGGAAATTGCATAAATAGTTACAGTTATGTGAAAGTATCATTTGCATCTTTAAATACACTCTTATTTGGCTATATAGTTTATTTTAATCTGTCAAAGTGAGACTAAGACTTTTCTTTTTTTTTAAAGATTTTATTTATTTATTTGAGAGAGAGAGTGCATGCACCAGGGGAGGGGCAGAGAAGCAGACTCCCCGCAGAGCAGGGAACCCAACGGAGCAGGGAGCCCAACATGGGACTCAATCCCAGGACTCTGGGATCACGACCTGAGCCAAAGGCAGATGCTTAACCAACTGAGCCACCCAGGAGCCCTCTTTTTTTTTAGAGAGAGAGAGAGAGAGAAAGTGCGCACGCACAAGAAGGAGGGGAAGGGAGGGGCAGAGGGAGAAGGAGACAGAGAATCTTAAGCAGGCTCCATGCCTAGTGCAGAGCCCAATGCGGGGCTCAGTGTCACGACCCTGAGATCATATGAGCTGAGCTGAAATCAAGAGTCCAACACTTAGCCGACTGAGCCACCCAGGCACCCCAAATTTTTCTTTTAATATGTACAAGTTCATGCCCCAATCTCATTATTATCATAGAATATGGTGATACACAGGGTATAAAGAATAAAAATGAGGGAAAAACCATAGTCATACCTATGAATATTAAATATTATG